ATACTACAAAAATAAAACGCGTTCTCTCATCCGCGAAGACCAGAAGCGGACCAATATAGTACAAGGTCACTCTCACATACTTGTTATTGACAGTGTGGCCCTTGTTCGCAGCTAAATGGTTGGTAGTTGCAGATATCCAATGGATACTCGTGTGGAGCTGCGAGACGTTTAAACTGCGGCCGTACAAATTGCAACGGGACGAACGGCTTCCATGCTGCGCGAGGTCGACCGATTGATCGATCGCCGTTGCCGTCGTCGTCGTCGTCGTCGTCACAAGTATTCAGAAGAACAAATGTAAGAAGCAGAAAACGAAGAGAAAGTCGTCGAAGATGCAGCCACATAAAGACCATCTTGTTCCCCCGTTCCCGTTGTGGCTGGTAGCCGCAGCTGGCGCTGACTTGCACCAGCCATGTCTTCGGTCCCGTCGTCGGCCAGCCGATTCAATGAATCGACTAAACGCTACATACATATGTCTATTTGTATGGCCACACAGCCTAGCGCGGCGCTGTGTCGTATCGACCGAACAACACCTCTGCAGATTGGATACTCCAGCGTCCAGCAAAGGTCGTGCAGCTTCGGATGACCGCTACTTCGTGGCATACCATATGACAACACACAGCGTACAGTAGAAACGTATGTTGTCCGGCAAAATGGCCACTTCAAGCTTGAAGCGAAGAAACCAACGAAGAATTTGGCTGCCAGTGAACCTGCGTGCAGTCAGCGGCCAAGACGTCGATCACCACCAACGACGACGACAAGGTCGGCCGTTTGTCTTCGTATTGGGCGGCCAACCAAAGAATCGATAGACCAACTCGTGCGGCTGCTTCGTGGAGCAGCCGTAGTACAGTCCGCACGGGCTCAACGAAGACGCCAGCAAAGCAATGCGCTGCTGTTAAAGATGGTGCTAGTGGTCGTCGTCGTCGTCGTCGTCGTTGTCATCATTATCATCGTCACCATCATCATCATCGTCGTCGTCGTCGTCGTCGGCGTCGTCGTCGTCGTCGTCGGCGTCGTCGTCCTCGTGACCACTGTACATGAACGAACGATGAATGAAAACGAGCCCGAAGTAAAGAACTAATTTATGGTTTAAACGCTATAGGTAGGATTCCTACGGTTTTCCTGCTAATTACTACCTACACTGATAACGGGTAGAAAAAAGCCTAAAGATTCAATCCGGGAGCTACTTATATATGCACTATTGATTTTAGAACATGTGCATAGTTATACCAGCAGACTGATCAACTGATCTCGTTCTTTTATCAACGTTTTGTCCGCTTCTGCCTTTTACATTTCGATAAATATTGAAAGCTATAGAAACACCCGAACCACACACAGAATGGGAATACAATGAGCAAATGTGGTTTTTCTCTTTTCGTTCAAAGAAAAGGAGAGAACATATTTTTTCTGCAGTTTTCGATCTCTTCTACTGTTGTTACTGCTGGAATGGTTTCCTCACTGTCGATGCCTAGCCCGCTTTCCTTAAAGGCTTCCCCAAAATGCCAGGGGATTCCACAACGGGCGGAGGGAATCGAACGGTATAGGGTGGGCTTGAACGCCGATCTCGGGAGGGTTCTTGGCGTTTCTGGGAGGCAGCATGCCGTTGGTGGTGGTTTCTGCTGTAGTTCGTCTACCTCGGTGTCCTTCGTAGGCCGATGCGACGTGACCGCAATGACAACACGCCCGACCCAAGCTTTCCATCCAGCGTGTGCACTGGCTGCAGCAGCACAAGCAACGCATCGGCCATCCCCAGTCTTTGCACGGTGCAGGCTCCTTAGTTCTCCCATATAGCAGCCTGCCAGTTAGCTTGCCTTCACTTTAAGGATAGGAATATCCCTGGTTCCCCCGCAATTGGCCCGGGGCGAGGGTATAGCCAGGCTCCATCTTGCCAATGGAGCAGTGCGAACTCCGGCAACAGAAGACAGTATAGCAGATTGAGAAAGTTTGCCCCGTCGCTACAGTCAGGACGACGACCCAAGAGACGCTCGAGGTCCCAGAGTCAGCATGGGAAGTACAAGAAATGAGTGGGTTTTAGGAAGGACGCTAGCAGACATCACAAGCAACACTATATTTCCAATACTATACGAGATATTGCAGCTGACCAATACCGAGGAAAACGCTAACTAGCGATCAAATCGAGCCAAACAATCGTCTAACCAGTGGCAAGCTTAGCGATAGAAAGCATTCAGGTAGTAATACTGGGTGAACTATAAACTATAGCCAAAGCCATATTCGATGGCTCCGCCAGTAAACGCTGACTGTGTATCGATCTAGCAGGCATTGTACAAGGGGAACGCTGAGACACATGAAAGTTAGAAAAAATGTCACAGAAAACGTAGTATTTTCAACACAATTTTGGTTTTTGTCAACGACTTGTATTTGTTTGGTTTTAATGATTTCTTTATTGTTTAATCACGGCTTAGACAGCATGTTACCAAGACGGATTTTTTTAGCAAGGAGCGTGTGTCATGTTTGTCTCGAGAAGTCCTGAACAAACGCGAACGAAGGTTTTTGATTTAACCCCAAGTAGTTCATGTCCTAAGCTACGGTGCCAATGTTCTGCTAAGACCGTGCTTATAAGTTGGCAATAGGTTCTCATCGGCAATAGTCAGTATCACGAAGACCACAGCAATAATTCTGTAAGACCGAAGACAAAGGCGGAATTATCTTGATTGGGAAAAACTTCATACCTAATGGTGAAAAAGGATCCAACGTCTTGTTACCTTATTTACGACGACCACTTTGTCTGGGACAAATTGTCAAGTGGAGCTCGCTTTACAAGTCGTATTATGCTACATTACGAATGTGTTATGTGAACTATCTTTATAAAGCGATCTATGCGATACAGTATGATAATTTTAATGACTCGGGGGAATTTCAGTGAGGCTTCTGGGGATCGTATATTCAAAAGGGAGCATTTGTTGTATGCCTATTTTTTTGTGCTAGGTAGGTTCGCCTGGTCTGAGAAAACAACATTATAATGAATACATCACGCACCTCATGTGGGGAACCTCATCTTCGTACGGGAATATCCAGAAGGTCATCTTGAGACCATATGTTTCGTGCATATCCAGATGAGCAAACGAAGTGTGCGTGTCACACCGTATCCGCATATGGAGTACGATTTCCTACCATTCATCAGCGTTCACCCATTCGTTTTGCCCGACCTTGTTGGCAAACATGACTGTTTTCCTTAGTCCAAATAATTCGTTACCTTCAACCGTATAGACGGAGGGACTAAAGTCGAAACAAAGATTCGAAAATAATCGATCGTTTAATAAATCATAGGGAAACCACTCTGGTAGGAAAGCGGGACGCCAGTGTGGGACAAACGGGGCGTTAATGTCGAACAACTATATCCGTCTGCACAATGCGGCTAATTAGTGCACATGTTGCAGACATTTTTTTACGTGCTAATAAAAATCACTGAGGGAAAAAAGGATAGCATATCTACCAAAATCACATGTGTTGATTTACTATACTCACGTGCAAATAGACCAAAATGTAGTTATGCTTTATTATCTGCAATAGCCTATTTACAATGGAGCATACGACGATTTTTCCTAACGCAAACGTTGCCGTCCATAGTTTGTTCACGGTATTCAACTGTCGCTTGATGACTCAACTTAATTCGGCATTAATCTCGATTATCTACCTTTCCGATTACCTCAGTCCAGTCAGTATGTACCGTTCGCTTCACATCCATATATATAATCTTCTGTCAATATCGAAATGTGTATAGGTCTAATTAGCTATCGTCCTTTACTAGAGTTTTCATTCAATTATCATCCACACACAATCTTGCTCGTCGTAAAAGACGAAGCCAGTACAAGCAACAACTTCTTTTTCCTGCCATTATTCTTTCTGTCTTTCTCTACGACTTTTTCTTTTATAATTCTTCTGTTGTTTCTTCCGATAGCAGGTAAGACCGAGAACCAGGTAGCGTACGAGAATGCCGGCAGCAACAGGGCCGATGCTTCCCCGGACGCACGAGGCGCCTTATCCATCTACTCGAGAGAGCAATTGACTGACGGCTGGTCCATCTGAGAAAAAATCGTGTGGCATACCACATATCGACCATTCGAAACTTCATTTAGCCCCAGCCGCCACTGCTGCGGCCACTCCAACTTATCTTCGCCGTTCAAACGCCGACTATCACCAACAGCAGCGGAAGGAATTGGCCGTCGTCGCAGTCGTCTTTGTCTTAGCTATTTTCGTTCTTCTACGCCAAGTCAGTCGTCATGAGTCGCCTGCGAGCCATCAGGTGTCGCTCCATACCTCGTTCACTGTGGCGCGTATGCTTCAAAGTTCTCGACTTCATATGAACGAAGTTAAAGTAGTAGTTTCCTTACGTAGATACATAGACATATAGACAAAGACAGACGGATAGATACCAAAACAGGACAGCAGGCGTAACAGCGTCGGGAATAAGGGTCGTGAGGTCGCCATTAACTCGATTAATCTTATATATTAACAAAAAAAGAACAATCATATATCGTATGATAAAAATAATACTAACGAGAAGGATAATAATATAATAACAACAACAGCAGCCAGAAGAAAGCACGGAAAGGTAATTGCATATAGCCTCTCTTTTATCCCCCCAAATTTCTTTACCGTTCGCGCGCGGCCCATTTGAAGCTCCTCCAAGGCGTCCAGAAGAGCATCGGAGCGCTGGAGAGGTCTAACCGTGTCGGTCGGCGGGAAAAAAAGAAATTTTGTGCTTAGCGACTTGATTGTTGTCGTTGCTGTTGCTGTTGCTGTTGTTGTTGTTGTTGTTGTTATTGTTATTTTGTGCGAAAAGCGAAAGGGGGCGGCAGTTGGCTCGATTAAACATGGGACTCTTCCGTACCAGTTGTATAAACTGATTCCCGCGGGTTGAGCATGAATCGGGTAATAATGGATACACCTTCTACATTAAATTAATTAGCTTAACTTCCTAGATTTCGCAGCAGCGCTGCTAATAATAGTAGCACAGAAGCGGCAGAGAGCGAAGCAGTCACTATGGTCAAGACTGATTTGGTCTGATATCGACGTTTTGCCTTGAAAAGGCAACATTTTGAACGTATTGGACCAACAGGATAAGGGTTAAAGCTATACAGGTTATAATCTGAACGTATATATAGCTTTAATCGGTCGAGTGAGTACAAATTCAAAATATTCTAACTCGTCTATTTCGGCCAATTCCGGCTGCCAACTAATTGTTCGTTTTATCTAGGCAAATATGCCATCTTAAGTTTCGTCATGTCCTGTAGGAATTTTCGCTGAACGCTCTATTGTCTCATTGGAGTTGCCGTTGGTAAGTAGCACTCTATAGAAATTTGTTTCCTAAATGAAGTAATACTATAACCGTCTTTTGGTTTTATCTAGCCAGATTTCATTGGACTGAGTTAGTCCCGCAGGTGATGGTGGCAGACAGATTCAGAGACAACGCTCATTCTAGTTCTGGAAGGTCTGTAGCTGAGTTTGCGTGAATCGAACAAATGCCTTTCGATAGATACAATCTGCTCGTTCAGACAACTGCCAACACATACGATGTCCATGAAGGTTTGCGAACGAGCGAGCATTATGTAACCTGCTTGTTCTTATCGTGTTCAGTACTCTTATCTGTGTCAATGGTAATATTTAGTAACAATTAGACGATGCTAAATTGTTATCTCGTCAATTTATTCAGTCACTTATCCTTCCGTTTATTGATTGTTTGATACATTCGACATGCAGCATTTAGTCAACAAGCTACTGATCGTACACACGCTCTATCTATTTCTGCTGCTCGTTGCACCAACTGGAGAACACTAGGAGTCGCGGCTGCAGCTGTTGATAATAGCCAACTGCTTACACCATCAGCGCCACTTTTACAACTATAAATTTCACGCGGCAATAACGACAGCGTCGCTTCGAACGATGACTGACGACAGGTAGAAACACTCTGAGGTGGTGGCCCTCACATGAAGGCGGTATCTCGTGTTGCGATTTGGCATTTTGCTGCGTTTCGCTTCGCCGCTACCGCCGACCACGTCTTTCTGTGTCCGTGCATTCAAATGTGCCGCGCTCCAGATGAAAGCGCCGAAGTCATAACTGCCACCGTGGGCGCTGACCGGCTGACTGGCTGGCTGGCTGGCTGGCTAGCTGGCTGACTTCACAACCGTATTTGCATTTTATAACTCACTAATCGCTGAATCCAGCCGCCATTGGTGCTGCTACAGTGGCCGTTACCAGTGCGATAGCGTCAAACATTTCCATACACGACGGTGGTAACCGGTAGCAGAAGCTATATAGAAGTGATGTTGTACTTATATACACCGATGGCGCTGCTGTTGTCGTCGTCGTCGGGTGAAATGTCAGAAACAGGCAGTACTCACTGGCAGACAATGGTAGGAATCGTATAATATGATACGTTTGTGTCTTCTACAATGGGCCTGTGAGGGCATGGCGGTATTATATGATTGCCATTCGTCCCAACAATGAATAAACTCAATCTCCTGATTAAACATGTAAGATAAGGCTGCAATAAGAGATTACTAACTCGTTGTTGACTTTTTCCGCTAAAGACGTTCCATCGAAGTAGGTAGGTGGGTCATCGGGAACGGCCATGGGTGTAGGCAAAAGCAGTGCGGTTGCAAGAATAAATCAGCAGTGTTTAGCTTAACTATATGACGTTAATTTTAAGGAACAGATATGAATACCAGATGGGTGTGTCTACTCAGGTTTGTGAGCCGTTGCTATTGGCGACCAAACGCGCCATCTTTTCTGAGAACAGAACCTTAAGAAGTAGATTGTCAACGCTTTTTCTTTCATATATATACACACGGTACGGCATTTAAATTGAGACTAAACTTTGACGGCTACTTGTCGTCGCAGACATGTGTTTACCCACGGCTCTTGAAACCGGACAGAAGTTAGCTTTTTCGACAATAATTTAACCACGGCGAACATGGAAGTGGAGCAACGATTTTGCCCGATTGGGCCGTTCATCTAAACTCCAATGGTTAGATATTTTACGCCTTTTTGCGTCTTTTGAACTTTTTGGCCGCTTTGGGAGCTTCGGTCTGTTATCAGTCAACAATTTAATTCTATTAGAATGTCTGTTCATTTGTAACGTATTTAAGCGATACACACAATCGATCTTGGTCGGTGTAAACTCGTCAGGGTGACACAGTTCGAAGAAAACTTAACGGTTTACTGTTGAAACGTTATTTGTGGATGAAGAACGAATTATATTGAAAATAACTAGCTAGTAGTTTAAGTTCCGAAACGAAACTGAATCACGGTAGATAATGATCATGTTAAAAAAACATGATCGTGACGAGTGACATTTCTAACAAATACGATGAGAATCGTCATAATCTCTGTTTTTATTTTTTTTTTTTACACGTTTCTATATTTACACGCTCTTGATGATGCTATAGTGTAGGCGATGAGGTACAAGGCACTAACGAAGAACTAGGCCTGATCCAATCTGAAAGTTCTGCCAAGACGATTTGGTGCAAGTCTGCTCTATTGACAAATGAATTAGCTATCAATGCAGAATTACCTAGCAGATATAAAGTTATCATTATCCATCCTCAGAAGGCTGAATTTTATTTACAATTATCGACTTTTGCTTGTACTAGTATCCTATGCGGCTATAAGATTACATTGTTGAACAACTATCTTAAGGCGTAAATAGCATCAGAAAATATAGCTGATCTTTACGTTCATAGTAAACCCATAATAAAACAACGTTCTCGATTCTAATATCTACTCTGAAGTTTTATTCATACTACAACTAATTGTTAAAAAAGCGTACAAACGTCACATGATGCCCCTAGATTTCTCTCAAGTAGTCCGAGTATATAATTTCTAAAATGATTTCAGCGTGTACGTCAGTTTCCATAGTGTAGATCAGACCATGCGTACCCTCGCACACAAAGGCGAAACGGCAGACAGACAGACAGATACAGTCATGTACTAACGGGGTCAATACGGAGACGACGCAACTCATCCGGATTCTACCGGCAGGATGCAACAGTCATTAATATTATCGACTCATCTGTCACTCTACAAACTCCACCGATGCTTGTAGCTATTTAATGTCGGCAAAGACTTCCATTGCTGAAATCGGCCTCGAGTGTCGCCCATCGGACTTGATCAGCATCTTTGCTATTGTTGGCTTCGATCGGATTTCCAATAATTACCACCGTAGCTCTTTATCCCAGTTCGGATTGCTCGCTCATTAACAACAAATGACACAACAGCAACTATCTCAGACAACAGATAGGTAGATACATGTATGTCTTGGTTAAGCATTGGGATCAGTTGCCCTTGGCTGACATACGAGTAGACAAGAGTTCTTTGACAGGGTGGGAGATGTCTCCACATTGTTAAGCGTACAGTGACCTTTTGGGGGTTTATTGGGTGTGCAACAACACTCATTACCACGCACACATATGCACATACAGGCAGATCGTGCTGATTCGCACTGAATGTACGGGCAGAGGGCACACTTCAATCAGCAGTAGGATAAGCGATCTACATATCAGAAGATCAATGGTTTTGTTTTGTTGGCTCCTAGTTGGCCGGATCGTTCGAATGAACTTACACAAAAACCTTCTATTTCGATGGAAATATTTTCTTGAAACACCGCTTAATACGTCTCTCGTTTTGTGCGCGACAGACCTTCACTGGCACTGCCATAGTTGGTGTAGCTGCTTTCGCTTCGACCATCTAAAGAAATAGTGCAGTGCGGGAATACGAGAACTTCAGTTCCCCATGAGTGGTCTACAAGACGTGCCGCCAGCAGCAGCGCTCGTAACAGGAACCACGCCAACTTCAGTGACGTCTGAGCTTACCACATCGTGCCAAGCATCCGAAGCCGCTGCGGCTATACCCGTCGATGACAACAGCCACGACTGTAACTGACATACAGACACAACGGGGCTAAGTAACGACAACACCAACTTGTTATTGCTAAAGAAAAGTCGGCGACAGTAGCTGCAGATACAGGAGTAGCGGCAGCGGAGGAAGCCTCTACATGATGAAGATTGGAAGAACGAGCGGAATCGAGCAGCCAGCCGAGCGCCTGAACCAAATCCTGATCGCATCACTTTGGCATGTTTGAATCTTCTCCGACATCCTACCCAACGGCCCCTTAGCATCTGCATATGCCTGTCCGTGTGACTTTGTCTGGCCGTCCGTATCAGTGAGTGTGCGCGCAAAAGACGACAGAAAAAACCAAGAGCTTTGATGCAACCGTTGACTTCGTTCAGCAGCGAACAACAACGACAGCAGCAGTCGAGCGACGACGAGGACGACGACGACGACGACAACGACGACGACGACGATGACGACGACGACGACGACGAAACGAACGCCGAAGAAAGAGTTCCAGCTGAGTAGTCCGAGTGGAACCGAAGTCTGCACCGTCGAAGAACCCGCCCGCTTGTGCGTCCAGGCCACCACCGGCGGTTGTGGTTCATAAAGACAAGGCAAGACTGAGAGCAAGCTGCCCTAAAGGAGAAACGCGCCCTAAGTTTCCAATGAGGAAAAAGCCAACAACGAGAAGAACAACTAACCAGCAACTAGTACTGAAGTTGCTGAAGAACGGAAAACTACATAAAGTTATTTTCTTTCTCTTCATATAATGCAAGTTAGGGCCCACAACGAAAGTTAGCACCACTGCCGCCTGACGCAGCCCAACTGCAACAAATTGCAGACTACAGAGTCAATGAGGGTGGAATGAAAGCAAGTGCTGGGTACCTCTGGGCACCGCGCTGGATACCTCTTTGCTATCTATAGTAGCAATACTCGGTTAACAATGAACGGCATTTTGCCACAGGCACATCCGCAGTTCTTAATAGTCACTAATGCCATTCCTGTCGTCTGGCAGATAGACATACAGATGCACAGACAGAAGGTCTTTACAGGGAGCGTTGAAGGTCTCAACACCATCGCCATGCTGCTATAGTCAACTCGCCAATGCAGTGATACTCAATGCAGAAGCAGTCCTTAGCACATCTTCGCTTTTTGCAGAAGCAAACTTAGCCAACCGGCAGTGCCGATGGCCATACTGCTTAGAGCATTATAGCAGCGGCGTTTGTATACTACTGCAACTGCTACAATGATATATTAGCACTGGGTCTGCTTAAGGATTCGGTTTCGGTAGCGAGCAACAAATGTTAGATGTTAGGCCGTTCTGCACCGCAGGAAATGGGATTCTATTCCATTTCATCTTTCTTTTTCTCCCTTGTCTCTCTCTATCTCTCCCTCGTCTCGCTCTCTTCCTCGCTCTCTTTAAGCTTTCGGCAGAAAAATAGGTAACCAAGGTTCGGCAGGGTTCAGTGCCGCGTGAACTCGGTCCGGCTTTGAAGCGAACGCGGTATGATATTGCATAAAATAAGCCGTGTTTCGGATACCTGGTAACGGAGCGACCGCGCCCATCTGCAATTCTAATCGACGACTGTTGAGCGATCCGACAGAAGCAGAAGTGGAGGCAGGATAAGTAGTAACCGAAGGATCAATAAGAGCAGAAAATCGAGGCCGAAGGCCCAGAGGGCCACCACACCCCCGCTAACCGACGATAAAACTCGAAGGGCCTGAACAGCCAGTATGCTGCGATATAGTTTAGTCCACGTTGAGGATGCAAAGAAGTTATAAGTTAATCACTAGTCCGCAAGCTTACTGATCTTTGTGTGACGACGACCGCAGCTAGCACAGGCAATTCTCCATTTGAAAAATGACCGCGCCGTTGACACCGACTCCAGTGCCGGCATCACAATTGCATCTCCTTGCTGCTTATAACGAACAGCTAGAAAAATATTACGGTTATTTCTGTAGCGGGGAATTGCTCCATATTCTAAAAAATGAGCGCGTGTAAGATATAGATTTTGTGTCTCAAACGAAAAACCTCCGGGGCTGAGTATACGTGGTGCGGAGATGCGATGTGGCAATCTGTAATTTGCGGTAACATCTCTTGAACACAAACAGTTGAGAGTAAGCCACTACTAGTCAACAAGTGTATACAATTACGCGTCTATTGGTACAATATCCGATCCTTAATTTTGCGAGCACGATTTCGCTTTTGGGAACATCGACAGTAATCTGCTCTAGAGGGATGAGTGATGCTGCTAGGGGTACGAGGGGGAGCTTCACCCAGGCAGTAGTGGAAACAGCCAAGTGTCAACATGCGATGGCGGAAATGCTCATCGGAGACCGCATCCTAACGGAGTAACGCGCCATATCGATGCGAGGCGTTGAGACATTGGCACTCGTTTTTAGATACTCCGACAGATCGACTGTCTGCATCTCATGACTGCTGATCATCGTTGATACCCGTGCTGTTTGTGAATGTATCCTTTTAGAACATTTTAACCTTTATTTTAAATCGTTAATGCATTTCGTTGAAGAGTGAAGTCCATGCTTGCTTGTACAGATTGCTCTCCGGAGGGATGACTTGTGGATCGCGCGTTTTGTTGTGTCAAGGCACCCACTCTTGCAGGGAGCATCCGTCTCAGAAGGGAACGCCCAACAAGACGATGAAGATACGCATACATACACACACCCACACATTCACGCAAACACACACACACATAAGATTTCGAATTCAGCGAAAACGTCAAGCGAGGGAGCCAGCAACCCCAGAGTCCTGTCGATGACATGATCACGTCTTGGCAGAGAAAGAGCGATTTCTACGTTCTAGACAAGCGATGTCTGACAACAGCTTTAATATCGAATCTCCCTTTTTTGAAGATAGAGGCAAAAAATAGGCAAATATTAAACTGTGGGAGTAGGCAACATCAAAAAGAAATCTAGCGGTTTTTTACCTTCTTAGCAGGAACGGTCTATTTTTCCTCGTCAGGTTTTTCACCGCTCTACGCATCATTTGACAAGATGAAGTATGATCGGAATTGGCATAAGAACGCGTCGTGCGTCACAAGGCATAAGAATCATCGTAGACGATCAGCTCACAGACCGAAAAGCAGACCGACAACTGACAACACTATCGTTGACGGAACGACAAAGTCTCAAACAAAATTAGAGGAAAGAAAAATTTCGGAAGATCTGAATTCACGATGAACGTCAGAACGAACGGGAATCGTCGTCGCCACCTCGTCAGGGTGAACATTCCGAGCACAAGATAGCACCACATAGATACATCAGGGACGGACGACGACGACGACGGCGGCCGCGTAAAGCTTACTGTGCGATGTGCAGACGACCGGATACACTTTACGACCTCGCTAACTTCGGCGTCACACAGCGAGAGGCATCGAGAGAATGACAGGGAGTGTCGGGGGGAGAGATTGATTCCATTTCTTGACCTGTTCTTGGAAAGAAGAACCATACGGGAGGTAGTTCAACCAGGAGGTGGGTAAAAAGCAACATTAGTTATGGTTTAAAGAGGGAGCATTTGAAGGACGGTGCCTGACGTTAGATGGGCATCGCATCATGCAACCATTGGGTGCATCCATCCAGCTCGCATTCCCATACCCATAGTCCCACATATTATAGACCCAAAGTTACTGATCTATTTATCTTGATCAGTTGCTTATTAGATTCGTTGAAAATGTCTATCGAAGACTGAGAGCTAAGAATAAGAGTCAAATTTCGAGACAAAGATCTTAGGACAACGTCATCCGGAGTAGGAAACACCGCGCTGTTTTTTTTGAAGGAACGCTATGTTTCCTTGAGCTTTAACAACAGCTGTGCGACTAGAAGTTTTTTTCTACCCGGCAAACTTAAACGCCTTCATATAGAAATCGTATATAACACGGCTTCGGACTCGGATTTCATCTCATTCTAGGACCTTTTATTTTTTATTGTTAGTTCAAGACGACATGAAAAATTAATTAGACCATCACTGAAAATTACATTTTTATTTTATGCCAAATTTTGCTCTTTGTGGATCAGGTTCAATCAGCATTCCGCGCTAGTTAGCAAAAGTTTAACACTGACATGGTGGCAATTTGTCGCGGCCGCTTAATCATCGACCTGGGACCACTGATTAGCCGTAGGGCTTCATCAAACAGACACCGAAGCATAACGAGAGTAACAGATTCAAAACTCAGTTCAGACGAGGCACGCCACAGTAGCTCGCCACAGGATCCGCCCACACTCAAAGTCAGTGACGCGTGCACTTTATGACGTCTTCTGAATTGACGATGCGGTTCCAACGACAACAATGGGAACGAACAACAACAACACAATGACAATCGAGCGGACAGGGCCAGTGGACGACGAGAAGAAGACGGCAGCGGTACAAAAGAAATGAAAAGGCCGAGGTCCTAGATAAGGAAATAAGGGTTTGTTAAAGTCTTCAATCGATGTCGCAGTCAAGAGTACAGTCAACAAAAAGACTGCGCGTTTGCCACCATCCTGCATACTTTTAATTCGCTTAATCTAATGGCCTATGTCGCTTCGGCTCCTGGAACGTACAACTCCCAGGTTAGAAGCATTATACCGCCATTAGAAGTGAGCAAAGTAACGATTTATCCAACCACATGGTTTGAATTTCGAACCCTTCGGAATCTCCTATACAAAAAGTCCTGGGACTCATATTTTAGGATCTGCACACTGTTTAAGGTCGGACTTTTTTCGACTCCAGCGCTTCCGTCGGTTAATCCTAATCTTAACCTAATTCTATGATATACCCCTAATGTTTTGCCATCGCACGGAGAAGATTTCACGTAAGGAAGATAGTCCGATTGTACGCATTTCGCCCGCGAAAACAATTGTATTCCCTTACATTTTCGAAGGAGAATTAGCAAAATCTGGCAACGGCGTTCCTGAGATCAAGCAACGCAGTGCCGATCAGTATATTTGTGTCATTAGCCTTTGTTGATATATTGTCGAAACAAATACGCTCGGAGCTGGAAGGAGAGCTCAAGTATTTAGATAATCATTTATCTACTGCATTACTCCGACGGGGTCTTGCCAGTTACGATGATTTCAATAATGAAAAAGCTCAGCGGAACTTCAATTGAAATTCACTGTTCATTTCTCACTCTCCAGGTGTGTACAGTCGGAACGCTATGGGAATTAATAGAAAAACGAGGCGAGCAGAGACACTGCCAGCGGTTGGCCAAAGAGCGGAAAGTAGCATCTGCATGTGTGTCTGCGTGATGTTCGCCGATGCATAAGAAGGCTGTGGGGTGTTTTAATGATGCACCTCGCAGGTCCCTTATAATAAACATACACAACGATGTGATGGGAGTGCTAAAAGTGGGGACGGCATCGATATAGGTTCACTAACATGGCCGGCAACACACAATAAGGACGCAGTGTTCGATGAGCGAGCGAGCCACTTGACCGCAGGCATAAATATCATTAGATGTAGAAAAAGAAAGAGGAAAACTTTGAGCGGAGGGACTCACAGGAAAGCTAACGAGGGAAAATAAAATGAATGATATATACAAACATAAATGAATAAATGAGAATTTTAAATTAGCAATGTTCGTCACGTACTCTCCTTCCCTATGGCCTTCGGTGTTCTAGTTACTTGGAGTTCCTTAGTGCTGCGATATAGCTAATACGCTGTTTTGAATTGGAAGGCCCGCTTGTTCCCAATCGTTGAGCATAACTTTGGTTCTTATCTAGTTGTTTTTTTTTTTTTTGTACGTACGTGTTATGTACTGTTTCTAGCTGTACACGTACTTTCCCGCGTCTATTTCAAATTTGGCAAAACTTAACAAGAAACTTAAGCAAACGATCTGTCTCAGGTGGAAAGATAGGGAGGAATGGTATATTCAATTCAAAAGGCTCTGACCAACCGTGAACGAGTATTATTAGAGTGTTATTTTATGTCTTATATTCGATGGCAATACAGTAAGCAGCATGCATAGGTATTACCGAGACGATCTGCTTCATCCGATATGAGATCTTATGCTCCGAGATATATCCGAATGTATTGCTCGTCATAAGTGGCATTTCAAGTTACAAACACTATTATAGATACGAGAGGCTTACATTAGTTCACCTTACTGTTGCTACACCTCCTGATTTCTCCACCTTCTGCGGTAAGTTCAGACACTTCAGACTAACTAGAAACATTGAATCGCCTCGTACATAGTCCTTCAATACTCATGGACTTCACAGCAAGTATATACATTCCTAGTTTTTTGAAAGCTGGTCAACAGAACTATCTAGCACAGACGCATTACATATGTAATTCTTGTGTGTTAGCTTGTTTGACGCCAGCCCAGTTTGGTCTAGCCCATCGTAGTATCAGTCCTAACTTCAATGGATGCTGTGAGTCCATCTGTCCGTGTGACTACGTTACAGCGATAGGGTATCGCTCACGGCGTTTCACAGCCGACCGGTTACCAATCCGAGCGCGGCGACTGCCTCTTCGAAGATTGAAGCCTGCACGATTGCTGCTATTGACTCTGCTGTAGCTTGTGACACAAACACCAATACTCTAACGGTGCTCTGTCCCTGTATCTATCATTGGCTTGAGTGCACTACCGCCGCCGCTACTGCTGATTACGTTGATGATGCGTTTGTCATTTTGCGTCTCTACCATTGTGTATCTAGTTAGCATTATCGAACGTCCATACACACGTTGCCCGAGTGGAGCGGATGATTCAAGATCGTGCTAGCCGTACCGATGGCAACGGAAACAGCGGTTTTCGCGAGCGACCGACCGACCGACCGACCGACGAGGTAAATCCTGCTGCTTAGGATATCAGCTGGTGCTTGGTGGAACCTTTTCGGAATCATCGGCTGATAACTGCCGATCGTGGGGATATGCTGGACGATAATGGCAGCGACGCCTGCTAAAAGAGGTTGCCTGCTTGCGGTAGTAATAGTAGCTGTCGTATTAGGCAGCCGAAAATCATTGTAGATGAAAACGGGACGTCGGACGGGGGGCGGGGGCGTCAACGAACCAGCGCGAACCAACTGGGCGGGAATGGAAACGGCAGTGAGCCGTTGAAGAAAAAGACTATTTTGCTCTGGGACTGTTTTCTGTCGTCTGTAAGTATAATCGGTCGTAAAGCGCTAGTGGGTAGAATTGGAGGATAACGAAGTACCCAAAAGGCCGAAACAATCCTTCGAGAGGTTGTCTGTCTGTCACTTTGCGTCAATATCCGTATAGGTCTGTTTGTGTGACTCAAATCAGTTCTAGCCGCCCATAGAGTGTGACCAGCTGCTGGCAGCTATTTATGTGTCGGATCGAGGGATTACATTACATATCATATCGAAGAGTTAGTGGCTGTTTCTGCCCGTGTGGTTGTTAGCCACGGTTATACCGTTGTTGGATGCTTATAGTTATCAGCCGTTCGAGTAGAAGGAGTGGGTTTTCGACCAGTGATTGGCTGGCCGGGTAATGCGCTGGACGGGTATAGGGTGGCCCGCGCTGTTGACAAGGCTGAATTTAACAAGCCCTATAATAGTTCGTATTAAATGAAATACTGGACAAAAACATATAGGCGGAGCAGTATCGGACAACAGGGTAAAATGTCGTTGCAACAAGTCGATCTAGAAAAACTCTAACAATTCTGTGGGGTGTAACATTGGGCATTGAATATTGGTATTATATCGAGGACGAATTCGAAGTCTCCGGATAACTGACCGGGGCTCCAAAGTACGTTTTCAGAACTTCTCGAATCTGTGACTCCTGAAGCACGATCCACGATTTGACTGGCACGCGATAACGGGTCTAAATGGTCCAGAATTTCGAAACTGAATGCCGATATTGATATTATTGACAATCGCAACCGTAGAACGGCACTTAACATCATTATCGAGATCAACCCGGTAATTTCCGCTATGCGAGTCCGTCCCACACAATCTGAAAGGAGGTGTTCCAGCAAACAGGAGTACGGTGGGGAGGTTACAGTAAAAAGATCGATCGTATGAGGAAGTCAGCAAGATATAGGGTGCCATTTCGCTTTCAAAACAGGAAGCAATATCTGCCACAACATATAGGCAGCCCTGGTATTCTTTGTAACTTGTTTGATTAAGCCCTCATGACATATTGATTCATTTAAAGAACTAAACGTATTTGATGTTTTTTTATTACCTATGCTGCTCTTGTGCGATATATAACTATTGCGAGATATATATCTGTCATTCTGCAGGACTATATCCGTAAATAGTACTTCTCACCTATGATATTATAGATTTAAACGATTTTGGGCCCGAAGACGTTGGCCGCTCGTTGAAGCTAGCGGAGTCACAGCTGTACATTGAGTAGCCTTTGAAAAAAGAAAGCCGTCTTGCATTGAAAAACCACTGCTTACATTTAGCACAAATACCTAGGCATTTTTTCAAGAA